CGCTGCCTTTCAAACTTTGTTCCGGCTTTCCGGATAACATTCTCTTTCCTTCAGCTTAACTAAATGCTCTAACAGATGAGATGAATGCATTGGTTTACAAAGTTTACTGCAAATGCTTCGTGTGTTCCTCGCGGTGTTAAGATGCGCGCTAATCGGATCTCGGATGCACTTTTCGTGCACTTTATATTAATGTGATTTCAGCTCAGTGCTGTTTAAAGAATATACCTGCTCCTACATGAAATAATGCAATCAGACAGAAAAGAACACATGAGCTGATTATGAGTAGAATAGACTGGGGCTAGTTGTCTCACAATGGGATGTTGTCAAAAAGGCATGTATCTAAGTAACTGGAAGATTTGAAGTCAAAACTCCAATTGCGCTTCTCTTTCTGTAATGAGTGTGTAAACACCTAGTTCAAAAGTGCATAAATTAGAGTACGTTTAGTCAGTTTTGTCCTCCAAACATCATCATATCATAAAATCCCAACATGGTATTTTTATAATAGCTGCTGGGTAAAGAAGTGAACACGATAAAAACACTTGGATACATTAAAGCAAGGTAGATTTTCAACAGAAAGGCTGAACTATACAAGAGAAAAGGTTGATTATTTTTCATAAACCTCAGATTGGGGCAGTTTGTCACAATTTTATGAGGGTGTACACACATTTAAACGTATTTATTACAGTTAATGTTGGCCAAAACTATGATTTGATCCTTTTTTAAATTTTTTAAAATTTTTCTAATGAAATATTGGTTTCTTAATCCATTTAGTGTTTACATTTTTGTCTAAAAGGCCTATAATAGGCTGTCTAATGGCTGAGTCCCATTGTGACAAGTGTGATGACGTGCTTTAACATTGATTAAATGAACAATTTTCAGTGACATTTTTTAAAGGTATGCATGCACCAATGCAGATTTTCCCTTTCACAACATTAACCATCCCTGAGAAATAGTCACTGGAGTGAGTGTGACAACTAGCCCCGACCTCCCTTGCACGCTTTTCATTCTATTGTAGGTCATTCTAACTGTATTTCAGTTTATAAACCTGCTGGACACAGGGCATTATAATGCTCAGCTCAATTCACTTCACAAATCATCAGAATTGGTATTCCTTCCCATTTCAATAAACAAGGCGTATTGTTTTCTGTCTCCAGGTGTGCTAAATTATTGAGTCTTTCATGTAAATAACCAAACAAGCCTTGGCATCCAAAGACAATGCGAGGTGGCATGTCTTAATTAGCCAATCATCCGTCAGCACACAATTATCCGTGCGTCAGGCGCTCTTATTGAATGTGGCGTGCGACGACAGCGGGCTTGTGTTTCGTTTGTGGCGAGCGGTGCGAGTTATTTGCGCGGCGAGGACTGTAGTTGCTAAGGGATGCCGAGGCTCCTAATGATCCTTTCAATTAAAGAGGAGCCCTGAGGCTGTAGCACAGCTGTCTGTTTAAAACGCCTCCTCTCTTAATGCCCGCCTGAGCCTGCTCAGCATGCGCCAGTGTTTAAGTCAATATTATTTTAGAGACTACCTCCCATCTATTATTAAGTAAATTGAGCCATCAGCGTCTTTGGCCGTTTTGAACCCTAAATGAAATCTATTTGCCAAAGGCCTGGAGGACTGTCAGTGTGTAATACAATAATAGACTGGATGGCGCGCTTGTTAGGAGAATGAATAATAACTGCACAAATAATTCACCTTTAAATCGGAAGATCAGTGGTTCTCGACTGGTTTTGCTTTGGAACCCAGATTTGACATTGGATAAGGTGATGCACTCTTAAAAATAAAGGTTCTTTACTGGAATCTGTAGTTCCAAGAAGAACCTTGAACATCCATGGAACCTTTTCTTTGCACAAAAGGGGGAAAAAAAGTTCAAATTTTCAACGACAAAAGTTATTTTAAAAACTGTTTGCTAAAAGGTTCTTTGTTGAACCCAGAATGGTTCTTCAGTATCAAAAACCGAATTTTGCAAGCTTTATCTTTAAGAGTGTCATACCAAAATTGTTGATGTACAAAAGGAAAAAAGTCCTTAAAATCAAACATTGAGATGTATTACAATTACTATAAACTGTACAGACCCAACGAAATGCAGAATTGTTTGCATGACATACGTTCAATTTTCTAAATATATTTGAATTTTGAGGGTTTCGTGTTCTTAACAATTCACATAAAATGCATTTTCTCAACACAAACCATGTTTGTTATAATTGCAAGTGAATTTAATGATTGTTCCCCCACCTCAACTGTCTTTAATGCCATCTGCATCATTTGACTAGCTTTTAACAAATGACAGATGAATTTGATTGGAAAGCGCAGCATTGACAGCACAGGAAAATATGGGACTCATTCATATCCTAGCTATGCATAGTTGGCCAGTTGCATTTACATTCATATTAGCATTTTTTTTTTTGTTGTCACTTCTGTTTGAGATCAGAATAGTCCTGCGACCCACCAGTTGAGAGCCACTAATTTGCATTATAAGAGTTAATGAGACACAATGATTAGAAAAGCTTCAGATGAAATAAAAAGATTGGTAACACTTTATTTCGATAGTCCACTTTAGACATTCTATTAACAGTAAGTAACTTTGCGACTACATGTCAACTAGCAGTTAGTAGAGTATTAGTAGACTGTCTGCTTAATATCTTCTAACACTTTCTTTGTCAACTTATTCTACTAACCCTAAACCTACCCTAACAGTCTACTCTGAGAGTTAGTAGACATGTAGTTGCAAATTAATGAGAATTAGTTGACATGTAGTTGACATGTAGTTACAAAGTTACTTATAGTTAATAGAATGTCTAAAGTGGACTATCGAAATAAAGTGTTACCAAAAGATTATGCATTATCAGATGTAAAACATATAATAAATGTCAGCCAGGCAAAGTTAAGAAAACAGTTTCTAAACAACTGATTTGAAACTCTGTAGTTTAACTCCAGAATGAAGTAGACAAGTGGCAATATGAACAACCCGGCACTCAATGACCCACAATTTGGCTTGTGCTGTCTTGGCTCATCAGCGGCCTGTTAGTGCCTTCTCACTATGCAGGAAAACACTCTCTCAGACCCCATCGATCTGCTCCAAATCAATGCTTTTAAAAGCCTTACATAGCCTTTAGTTAAGAGCAAAAGCATGCATGCTTCAAAACGGCCCACCTATATTGATTAGGGTGTGGAATGAAGAGTGGATGAGCTTTTCACAGGTTTTCTCTCGCTCTATATGAACTGTCCACAATTCATACAGTGTGACAGAATACATTTTGCTAAAAATTTTATTATGTAATCAACGCATCTTTTTTTTTTTGGTCGCTAAGTCATAACGTTATAAGATTGTGTCATTTTTATCTACAAACTAGCTTTGAAGTCATTGAATTTAATTGTCCCTAATGTCTAGTATCAGATTTTGAAACCTTGCCATTTGAAAATAAACGAATTATATAATATCATTAAAATTACAGAAAGCAATATGTGACTCTGGAGCACAAATCCAGTCTGAAGTTGCTTGGGTATATTTGTAGCAACAGCTAAAAATACATTGTATGGGTCAAAAATAACAAACCATACTTCAATGGAAAGCTTATTTATCCAGCTTTCAGATGATGCATAAATCTCAATTTCGAAAAATTGACCCTTATGACTGGTTTTGTGGTCCATGGTCACATATGTCTTCTCTTTACAAGAGATTAAACATTTATGCATTAAAGCATATCTAACAGCTGGCAACAACAGAACTAGATGAAAGCTATTTTGGAACGAATGTATCAGCTGCATTCAGAACCCATTTTACAGCAATTACTAGTGATATTTTGTGTTTACACGTCTAGAAAAGAGACTCATCTCTAGCAAAACCCCCTTGTAAAGCCATACAAAGGTAAAATGAGTGCGTTGAATGTGACATTGGTCACAAGCTGATTGGATAGTTTGGATAGTTTCGCCGGAGCTTCTTCAGTTACAAAGCTTTGAATTCAGTGAATTGTGAAATAGCATTGCGCCGAGTATAAATATATACCCGGACTTAGAATTTACTGGAGGGATTAGAGAGCTTTTCAAGTCCTTGCAGCCTCTTTTCATGGTTTTGTGTACAAAAGCGTTGTATTAGCCCTGTAAGCCACGGGGCCTGAGTCACTTCTCTGATGTTTGTTGATGCCGGACTCTGCTATTCGAGCAGAAATGGGGAATCTGTGGTAATCCTGTCTTTCTTGCAAAGAGTTTACTAAATTTTGAATTTACACGTTTAATACCTTTTAAAATGCTCTTTGAACATTTTTAGCCCCTCGCTGTTTCCGCATCACAGGAAAAAGGCAACACACATTTCATGAGAAGATGCTTTATGGAGCATAAATTTAATATCTCCTCCACTTAAGAGTACTGTTCCATAATCCCCCTGCAATAAATGTTGACTTGTGCTATTTAAATTTACAATTTATCCACCGTATTATGCCCAGGAGGCGAGTGTTACAGTTATTGAGTGTGTTCTTTGAGTCCATGTATAGGTGTAGCACAGTTGAGAGCAAATCAGGAAGGCACTGCACACCATTCTGCAAAGAACAGATGATAGAATAATCCATAATGGGTCAAAATACATGTAAAGAATAGCTTGGATGCGATAACATTGCAGATACTACATGTTCTTGACTGATGTCTTCAGAGCAGGGAGAGAATTTCTTGATTCTGGACCTGATGCCATCCCTAATATAGTTCCTGTTCAAGCACATAACACTCTCAACTCTCACATATTTATTTCAACATTTCTTAATAAAATGGGTGTGATTTATGTATTTTTTTTTAAGTTTAACATGTGCATAATTTACTATCCACAAACAAAACCACTGATTCTAGAATATGCATTGCCAAATTTGTTTGAAAATCCAAAATAGACAGCAAAAGTGGCACAGATGATCAATATGAGTGAAGATTCGTTAAAACAAGGACAATTGAAATAATCTTAACAGTTTATAGGAATTACAAAAACAAAAAAATGTTTTAAATTAGTGCTTTGGCCTCTTGCACGAATATCTCACAATAAACGATAGATATGTTAAGAAAAGAATGTTCTTTTTTAAATATATATATAAAAAAAACAGTTTTATGCTTAGTGGAAAGTTCAGAAAGAACGCTTTTCATTTGCTATTCGTCCTACGTTTCGATAAATAGAAACGCTAAACATTCGCCCTCTTGTGCTCGAAGGTGAGCTCTTTGCACATCTCCAGAGTCAGTCTGCTGTCTCTCGCTCGGTGTAACGCAGCCGGATTAATTCCGCTCAGATGCGCCGGGTTCGAACCGTTCAGGTTTCCGAAAGCGCCGTAGTTCGTGAAGCCCGCGTAGAAAGGAGACGCGTAGTATAAGTGTCTGGGGGGAAAGGGGCACTGCGCTGGTGACCCGGCGGGCGATAACGCCCCTGATGATGGCTGTGACGCTTCTTCACTCCTCTTATCCGACGTAGCAATTTCGGCCAGAGACCAGAGTTTGGGTTTGGGGGTCGGGTTTGCGGAATGAAGGACAGATGAGGGTTTGCAGTTCTCACGGAGGGGCTTCTCGGTTTCGCTGGGCTCGTCTCGGGGAGAGGAGGTCGTGGGCACCGGAGACTCTGTCCGATGCTCCTCTTCTTCTCCACCGTCGATGATAACACTATCCGTCGCGTCCTGATCTTCCGAGCGGCTTCCCGTGCAGTCATCGACAACTGCGATCAAATGATAATAGGCTTATTAGTGTTAGAAATGCCTGTTAGAAACAGACAAACAGCATGGAATATAGACCTACAATATTTGTAAATTAGCAAAAAGATTATTATATATATATATATATAGGCTATATAAATAGGCTAGCTACTACGTAACAATGACGCTCTTTTTCTCTAAATCTCAAAAAAGACAATAGCTAGAATAAATGTGAGAGGTTAAAGGTTTGTGGGAACTTGTTTGTAAAACTTAAAAAATGTCTAGTTAAAAGGCTGCAAATTATTTTCCTCCTTTTCTTTTAAAATATTGTTGATGTTTTGTAATTAAACGTGTGTCCTCTAAATCAAAGGCAATGTGGTGTAACCAACACGCCGGGGTTATTTTGTTATCATGTGACATGAAAAACATAAAACAGTAAATTATATTATACCTCTATAGACCCTCATGACGGGGTGTCAAGGTCATTATTTAATTGTTTGTTTGTTTAAAAAAAATGATTTTTAATACTTTTTTTCATGAAAAGGATCTAAACCCTTTGGAAGCTTATTAATATTCATGAGTCCTTATGCTATTATTATTATTATTATTATTGAAAATAATAAGTTGTGTGCAGTGCATTGTGCAATAATGCTATTGCATTAGGTACTCGATGGTTAAACTACAAAAGATTTCACCCTTTTGCCATACGATAGGCTACGTTATCTGTAATAAACATTTGTTCATACATAATATATTTATTTAAAATAAAAATGTTAATAAAATATAAGAAATACAATATCAATGCAACCACGCGCATACACATAACAAGGGAAAGAATGAGCACCTAAATCTCTGGTCGTCTGTGTTGTTTCGGCTGTTTTGAGCGGCTCATCGTCCTCATCGTTTTTCTCTAAATCAATGCTGTCCTCCTCATCTTCATCCTCGCTCCGGTTCCGTGACGTCCAAGTCATTTTATTATCTTTTTTCAGTCTTCTGCGGGCGTTGGCGAACCAGGTGGACACCTGGGTGAGGGTCATCTTGGTGATGATGGCCAGCATGATTTTTTCTCCTTTGGTGGGGTAAGGGTTTTTCCGGTGTTCGTTGAGCCAGGCCTTCAGGGTGCTGGTGGCATCTCGTGTGGCGTTCTTCCGGTAAGCGGGGTCTCCAAACGGGTACGGGCCCAGGGGACCGGCGTACGGATGATAGCCTATAGAGCCAGTCATGCCTGGAGAAGGGTCATATGGGGAGCCCTGGGTAATGAATTAATAAAGATTACAATTTAGGGCGAAAAGCAGAGCAGACTATCTCATTTCCATGAGGATCCGCTGGTTTTTCTTAACAGTTTCCAGAAGAACGGCTTCTGGAATATTTCGTTATTAACTGTATATTATAATAATAGCATAATAATAAACTTTAATCACAGTCAAAAGATTCGATTTGTATTGATCTGATGTAGGCTAAGTTTATATGAAATCACACCACACACAAATTTAAGTAAGCGTAAGTAATAAAAATGAATATTCGGAAGAATAGAATGTAAATTCCGTGATTACAGAACACTATTCGTTATCTATATTTTAAAGGGTTATTTTCACTACGTTTCTTGATCATTTATGTTATCGCTAAGCTTAGTCAAAGAGCTTAACACAAATGTAATTGATATATAATAGCCTACAGAAAAACAAAGTATTAATAGGGTATGCAAAGTTCCAACTGTGGGCACTGGCATGCTGACAGTCATGATGTCATGATATAATAATCATAATAAACCTCCAGACTGCTCAAGAATAAATAAACATGGGCTTTATTATGAATGAAACTCACCCCATAGGAAGTGAAGGGGGCTGTGGATTCGGGACTGTACTGGAGTGAGCTGAAGGCTGTGGTGTTTGTGAAGGCTGTGGACGCGTACGGGGCGAAAGCAGATCCGTTGGAGGACCGTCCCAGATCGTCCGTCCGCGGTCCGGTGATCGCGCTGGAGCCGTACGGAGGACACGAGTACAGAGACAGCGACGACTGGTACAAGTATCCCTGAGGAAACGCCATGACCAGACTACTGCTACAGTCTCCTCACGAGCCCCAGAGTCAACGCACTCCTCCTAGGTGCCATCGAAGGAGAAGTCGAAGATTCAAAGCGGATCAACTCCCGATATTAGGAAATTAAACGAGGTCGCTCGCATGACCGGTGTCTTCGGTAAATTGGGTAGAAGAGTGTCTCGAGTTCCGCGCGCTTCCTCAAGGAGAGTGAAAGAAGAGCTCAAGCTGAGTTTTCCATCTCTCTCTCTCTCTCTCTCTCTTTCCCTCTCTCTCTCTCTCTCACACACACACACACGTTCTTTTTAGCGCCCACTCAAATTCACAAGTTATCCTCTTCATTTGGTCTTGACATAAGAGCCGTTCACACACGACGCGTTCTTGTGTTCCGTCTTTTTTTAAATGTTCAATGCATATTTAGCACACCTTGTGTCGAGTCTGTCTTTTTTCAACATCTCTTACTAGGAGCGCTGGATTTTTCAGATGTAGTGTCAAGTTAAAAACAGTAGTGCACCTTCAGTCATTTTTTTAATAATTTAAGTAAAAATGCAATAGACTTTGCCTATAGTCTTTAACAGTTGACGGTTGCGACACATGCTGTTTTTAGCATTTGCCATAACATTCACATTGTAAAATTCGGTCTAGAGACCCAGTCTGCTGGTGTATTTGTAGTTTTGAACGGTTTTTTGAAATAGTGTGATCTGTTCACACTTTTTGCTTAAAAACGGCCTCAAATCTGTTGTGTTCCAATTTGTTGAGTCGGACTGTTTTTGGGCGCGAAAATTTCTCCCGCGTGAACGCCCCCACAGAGCGCTTTTAATTCTGATTATTTATTTTCCATAATAGCCTATATTTAGCCTGTTATAATTTATACTTGATTGTTACAAGGAGTTTCAAACGGATGCTTTATTGCTATTTTAGATTTTTTTTACGATTATTCCAGTCTAGCCTATGTTTAGCGTAGGCTACTGAATTGAGAGAAAATATAAATGAAATCAATAATGCGTTTAGAAGTCATATTCCTTCTGAATATGCATCGCACATCTGTTCAGCGCTCCAAATGTGAACCGCACTGGAGGGATCCACGCGCCATACTGCGCTGATTATAAAAGTTTATTTTATGGAGCTCTGTGCTCTTCTTTTAAATATAGGCTATTCGAAGAAGAGTGCACTCTTATAGCGCGCCTGTGCCGCTTTGTTGCTTATGAATGGAGCGTTGCGTTTTTGTTGCGTCGCGTCGCTGGAGGACGCAGGTGAGTTAATCCTCCGCGCGCCGAGATTCGCGGCTCTGACACGACGCGCTCAGGAATCCCTGCACTATTAACATGACTTCCGCGAATCAGACTGGAGCAGAGCGCGGATGTTCCGACCTCGAGACTGCAGATGGAGGAACACATGATACTCACGCTACACACGAGCGACGCGACACGCAGCCTGGGTCAGGTAAAGAGAGCAGGTGCCCATATAGAAACTCTGTATAGGCTATGCGAGCACCTGAGCGTCTAGGTTAAAGATACTCGCCTAAACTATTTATCTAGGCATATCTTATCTCTTAACAAAACATAAAAGTATCGCTTGAATTCCTTGAACAATTTAAACATGCAGAGAAGTGACTAATCTCATTTGCGAGCTCTATTAATAGACTTAAGTGCTTGCTTAATGCAGCATGACTCTATGCGAGAAGTGCATAAGAAGTCTATATATAAAGCAGGTGTTCTCGATTTATAAATCAAACCTTTAGCCCAGTATAACCATAGATGTAATGTGCTTGCACTTAGGCTATATCAATTGCTATACTGTTTGAAGCGGTGTGTTGATGCACTACTCTTTTATATCTATAAGTATTCTAATGCATTATATCTGTGGATGAAATTATTCATGAGAACAAATGATTAGTGTGTGTAAGACATTATGAATGCGTTAGTTGCTGGCTTCATGAAAAGCATTGCCAATGTAGATCTTCACATTTTGTCGAGACACCTGTTGACAAATGTCTCATTTGGGACGTTTAAACATTTTATTATCTTTAGATGTGTTTATTATACCGTTTTATTTGTTGAGTCCTGATTTGTTTCCTTGAGCATTGTAATGAGTATATTGATTTGTGTTTTTAATCTAGATGCGGGTTTCATGGATCAAGAAGGGCCTGCATTTTCAGCCAAGGAAAAGGTAGTTGTTAAGCTCAATAGACACAAAAGGTGATAATAAACATGTTTTGCATCCAATGAACGATGCCAAATGTGCACTAGTGTGCAATATGTTATATGCAAATTTACACTGTTAAAATGTTGAATAACACAACAAGCCCCTCTTTCCAACACCCCAACCCATGTCTAAAGTTTGTTTTGGTCCAAGAGCAGCCCCAATCCTTTTCAATAGCTGATAAACCTCTCATAATTAATTTGATAAGTCATTTGAGTGTTATATATAAAATGCAGAGAATCATGATTTTGAAAACTTTATAATTTCCTCAAAGTAAACAGACAATATTTCACACAGTAAAACGGTCAAGAAATGTAAAAATATGCTTTATTGTATTAGTTAAAAGTCCAAAGTAATATTTAATTTGACAGAATCACCTTTACTACATTGGGTTAAACCAACAAGAGTAACAGATCAGATCTGGTGGAAATAGCTGCACATTTTCACTTTTTACAGTGTGTAATCGTTTGTCTCGGGAGATTATACTTTTATTTAGAAGGAGTCAATAACTCCGACGGCTAAATGAACATTGATTGACGATAATGGTGCATGAATAATGTTCTCTTTCCACAAAACGCTATCAGATTTGATGCATCACAGTCAGTTTTATGGTGATATGACTTCATTATGCAGTAGCTTTGCTCATAAAGACGGATCCAGTCGGTTGCATTTGTACTGTTTGCTCGCTTACATTCCTCTCAGGAATGTGGATAAATTTAGTGCTTTCTACGCTCAGTAAAATGTTTGTCCTAACACAATGATATATCTACAGTTAAGCTAAAAAAGAAGTGATAACAGCTGTGATGTGAGTAAACCTGTCCCTGCAGTCACTGGAGTAATTGGTGCCCATTTTTAACCAAACATCGCTCGATCTTGTTATTTATATCCGTGTTTACCAATTGCTTGTTTATACAGAATTCCTTTCTCCAGTCTTCAGGGAATTCCTCAGCTTAACTGAGCTTTAATACTAGCAAAGATTAGTCCTGGCCCGCTTGTTTCTGTTTGCCCTGCAGTTTTACGTTTATCCTGTAAGGTAGCTCTTGTTTGTGAATTCGTGTCATTTCCTCTTTGGTGTCCTTTAGCCACTCCTTGCTCAATGCAGCCTTGTCCCACGCTGTGTTTTGACCCCAGGTGGATCCTGTGGCTTTGAGTCTCGTAGTATTCAGACTCTGTTGTGGATATCACATGTCAGTAGATGGAAATGGACACACCAAAGCTAGACGTGGATTAGCTAGTGTGTCGCAGCAGCTGCAGGGTGAACATTGAGGCACATTTCTTCAGAGGCTTGTCATAGTGGTATAACAACGGGTCTGATTTCCCTGTGTGTTGCCTGCCGTTATAATACACTTTACAGAACATTAATGAAGTTGTTTTTAGCTCAAATGTGTTCTGTGCTTAAAGGAATGTTCTGGGCTTAGTACAAGTCGAGCTCTGTGGATGTCTGTGACATACTGTTGATTATTTGTACCCCAGTTTGTAAAAACAAGCACAGCGTGCACTTACAGTGGGAGTCTATGGGGCAAGGCATTCAGTTTTAAAGCAGAAATGTGCAGCTATTTATTATTATTGTTATTATTAGTAATTCTTCCATTTAAAAATGTGAAGTTACATTGATCTTGCAATGGAACGTCTCAGGTTACTTGTGTAACCATGGTTCCCTGAGTAGGGAACGAGACACTGCGTCCTCTAGGGGTATGCAGATGAATATCAGTAATTCCTAGTCTTCTTTTGAGCATTGTGCAAAAAGTTACCAGATTATTTTGTTTGTTTGTTTTGTTTTTGGGATTTGTTTTGCTTTTGTGTTTTTATTTTTTGTGTTTTGTTTTGGGGTTTTGTTTGGGGTTTTGTTTACTTGTGTTTTGTTTTGGGGTTGTTTTGTTGTTGATTTGTATTGGGTTTTGTTGTTTTGTTTTGTTGTTGTGTTTTGTTTTGGATTGTGTTTAGTTGTGTTTTGGGGTTGTTTTGTTGTTGATTTGTTTTGTTGTTGTGTTTTGTTTTGGGATTGTTTTTTGTTGTGTGTTTTGTTGTTGATTTGTTTTGGGTTTTGTAATGTTGTGTTTTTATTTTTTTATTTTTTTTGTTGTTGTGTGTTTTACTTTTGGGTTGTTTTTTTGTTTTGTTTTTATTTGATGCTGGAAGATTTTTTTATGTTTACAGAAGCACATCTTTCAACTTTCATTCTGTTGTTCTTCTATAATCAGAATAAAGCCACTCAAAGTAATGTTTAGTCTACATTTCGTTCAGCTAGACTTCAAACCAAAGCCTGTTGTCGCAATACCGAATCTTCAGCTTAATTAGATTGCTGTAAAGTTTAACAGTAGAATGACTTCATTGCTCAAGTATTCGGAAACATCAATGCTTTAACATTTCTGCAGTCCAAGACGAATCAGCCATTGTCCGGAGAGAGCCGAAGTACAAGTGGCCACATGCACACGGTGTTTCTTAATTAATTGCAAATGGCTTGGATTTCACATCCGACCATTATGTATAGGAAAACAATTCCTTGCCAGTTACCAATCCGTGTGTAATGAATACCCATTGGAGCTGACTGTTTAAACTGACTTGAATAGGGGGACATTTTACTGAGACATTCTTGTCTAATGAAAGACATGACATGCCAGTGGAAATGAAGGCAAGAACAGCTGTGACATGTGGAAAGCTGGGATATTTTAATGTGACGTCCTATTGAAGGGAGCTTCACCACTAGTCTGATTGATTTCTGCTTTCTGGCATTATAGGAAAAAGCTAAAACAGTTTGGATGAGGCTTTTGTTTGGATATGCAAATAAAAATGTAGTTCACTTTTTACAAAAAAGAAAATCGTTACAAGCCTCGACACGAAGTGTAGCACTGAAATATACATGGCCACCGCTGAGGTCTTAATGAACATGAGCGCTGCTATAAATGACACAAAGCCCGCTGGGATTTCTCTTTCCAAATGAAGTGTAGTGGAGGTTGAGTATGGACTGAAGTCTGACAGATGAACTGTGCTTAATGGCCACTTCCAGAGAGGTCTCATCTCCACTGGGCCGTGTACGCACATCAGCAGGTGACTAAAACAGCCACTGCACTTGTCAAACTGTCACATTACAGCGTAATGAAGAGTAATCATGCCGGCGTTGAGTGAAATGTTATTCCTCAGCTAAAGGGTATTTGTGCTTGTCAACCCGTTTTAGATAAGCACAAAAAACGGCACATGATGCAGTTACGGTGAAGATAAGAGGAAGTTAGTGCGGTAATGTTTGTTTAATGATTGTTCGGTGTGACTTGAGCAATAAATATGCCAGAATGGGTAACAGGGTTGCATATTTAGATTAAAATAAGCTATCATTCAGGAGAGCCTTAAGACAGTTTGGTACCAAATGTTGGTTTGTAAATATTGATAAACATTTATTTATTAAATATATGTAGAGATTTTATGGAATGTTGTTTTTTAATTATTATTATTTATTATTTATTTTATTACAGGATACACATCATGCTTATGGTAATTTTATTAATTAATTTTCTACAATGAACAGCATATTAATTCAGCCGATTCGGACAAAATTAGGACTGTGTATGATTTTACTTGTTAGATACACTGAAGTGGGCCAAAACTAAATCACCATTTATAAATACATATTGTAAAGGTGTTTAAAACTAGCTAACTTTATGTTTGATAATATAGTATATTTAATAGTTTTTCTAAAGAATATTGAATTGTATTGCTTTCAGAAAGTTATAGAACAGCATATTGAACATTATGCATGAAATGTGCCAGTATTTTAAGAGATGGACCTGACACTTTAAAATAAAATGATAAATAAGATATTTAATGTTTTATGATTCATAAATAAACATCTAACAGCTGCATTTATAAAATATTATGCCATGAAAGTGTTCAATTGAAATGTTAAAAACCGCAAGAAAAATAAAAAAATAAAAAAAATAAAAATAAAAATACAATATATTTTACTTTTGTATAAATGCAAAATACAAAAGTAAAATATATTTCCAATATATTGTTTGCTAATACAATGCACTAATTTAATTTTTAAAACTTCATTTTTTTTTCTTCTCAATAACTTTGGCAATTAGTGCTCTTTCTGATCTGACTGTTAATCACTGATGTAACCTGTTGCCCAGTGATTTATGATATGAAAATTAAGCATATTGACATTTAATTATCATATCATGTAATTATTTTGGTTAACATTTTCAATGAATTGACATATCTGAAAATGTACTATAAATATGTTCTGTTTTTTGTTTTCAGGAGTCAGATTTTTTGGCTCATGAGTTCATCCCATCTTCATCGCACACTTCAGGATCAGGCCAGCACATTTGCGAGGGGTTCAAATATCTCACTCAAGAGGGACTAGAGCCAGACGTCAAGACCACCGCCACACCAAAACCAGCTCAGGCCTTCACAGATGAGTCCGCGGCTAGTCAAACTCAAGGTCAGGGGCTGCATCCCACTGGGAAACCCCAAGAACCAGAACCTGAACAGATCCTGGAGGACAAGAGGTCCGATCAGGAGGATCTAAAGCGATATGATGAGACTTTCAGGACACAGAGAAGCTGTGAATATGAGCCAGAGGAAGGGATGCCAGCCGTGGTGGTCACACAACCTGAAGAGGTGAGTGGAGACCAGAACATTTCATCACGCCATGTCTTTCAAAACCAATATGACTTTTCTTGTTTCTTCTGTGGAGTACAAAAAGAAACGTTTAGCAGAATGTCCAAGCTGCTTTGTTCCATACAATGAAAGTCAGTGGTGACCGCAACCAGTGTTGCGGAAAGTTACTTTTAAAAGGAATGCATAACAATATTGCGTTACTCCCCCAAAAAAGTAACTTACGTAACATAGTAAATTACGTTACTTAGTTACTTTTGATGGAAAGTAATGTGTTACGTTACTTTTGAGTTGCTTTTTAAATCTGGGCAGGGTTTGCTTGTTTGTTTTTAATATAAAAAGTTCTTCTTTTTGAAGCTTTTCACACCAAAATTGAAATGAATATGCCTCAGGCTGAAGGAAATGTAAATTCACGTCTGTACAGTAGAGGGCACCGCTCAAACAAATTGTATGAAGAATATGACGCAGGAGAAGAAAGTTCAACACTATTCAGCAATAACCAAAATTAAACACAAATGTGTCATTTTTGCTTATTAGTATGGTTGAATTGGATCATCGAAGGTCAGTAGCAAAGATATTGGTTAATAAAATGGGATTAAATGCACTCTGCACTCACTCCTGATTTCTCTGAACATGAGGACAGGAGAGCTGTCAGTCAAGACACGGGAAACAAAGTAACTGCTGTTACGTATTTGAAAAAATAACAGATATGACGCAGGAGAAGAAAGTTCAACACTATTCAGCAATAACCAAAATTAAACACAAATGTGTCATTTTTGCTTATTAGTATGGTTGAATTGGATCATCGAAGGTCAGTAGCAAAGATATTGGTTAATAAAATGGGATTAAATGCACTCTGCACTCACTCCTGATTTCTCTGAACATGAGGACAGGAGAGCTGTCAGTCAAGACACGGGAAACAAAGTAACTGCTGTTACGTATTTGAAAAAATAACAGATATTTTCTTGTAAATTTAAAAGTAATGCGTTACTTAACTAGTTAAATGAAAAAGTAATCTGATTACGTAACTTGCGTTACTTGTAATGCTTCACCCCCAACACTGACCGCGCAACTGTCATGCGCAAGATCGAGATATTCAGGGAAAACAACTTAAATTTCAGCCTATTTCAACACAAATCAATCAATCAACCACTGAGACCTCAATTTGTAATAACAATGGAATATTATTCCTACTCTCAACACAAACATTACGGAATCAAAATGCTTATATTATTCTGATCTGATAATTACATCAATCCAGCTTTGATCACCACACCAAAATGTCATTTAATGCTTTAAACAAATGACTGTATTTAATAGATGACTTATATTTTGTATTTATTTCTGTGATTAGTATTCATGCATGCTTGAGTGTATTTTTCTCAGTCTCTTTGTTCTGCTATATGTGTACAGTAGAGTCTCACTCTCACATTCAGTCTTTGTTCTTTGTGTAAATGTTATCTCTGATCATGCGCTGCTCGGCTTCCCTTGCACATTTTGTTCATCACAGATGTTTTTCTTCTCACAAATGAAACAGTTCTCTTGATAAGGTCTACATTTCTTTCATTTAATGTATGCAAATGATTAATTTACTTCTTAGATGGGTGCTGGTTTTACAGCTGTTGTCGTATCGAGATTTCACTGAGACAACTGTAAGTTCACCGAATGTCGAAGTGAAATGCTTTGAAACTTTGTTTAGAATAAGAAAAAAATAAATAGAGGTGCGTTTGTAATTTCTAGGCTACTAACAAGACAGGACTGCAAACCAAAAATATGATTTATGACAGAATTCCTAAACACTTCAATTCTTTCCAGGCAGTTAAAAATTTAAATGAAATCAAAATTATGCCTAGTTATTTTCTTTATTTACATTTTTAATAACATTTTAGTAAATCAATTTACAACGTTGAAAATTTTACATTAAATAAATAAATCTTTAAGACTTAATTGTGTTTACATAGTTTAGATATCTTGGATATCTTGATTGGTTGATTGTTTGATTGATTGTTTGATTGGTTGGTTGGTTGTTTGATTGATTGTTTGATTGGTTGGTTGGTTGGTTGGTTGGTTGATTGTTTGTTTGTTTGATTGATTGATTGGTTGGTTGATTGTTTGTTTGTTTGATTGGTTGGTTGATTGTTTGATTGATTGTTTGATTGGTTGGTTGGTTAGTTGATTTTTTGATTGATTGGTTGGTTGATTGTTTGATTGATTGTTTGATTGGTTGGTTGGTTAGTTGATTTTTTGATTGATTGGTTGGTTGATTGTTTGATTGATTGTTTGATTGGTTGGTTGGTTGGTTGGTTGGTTGGTTGATTGGTTGATTGAAAAAAAAAAACTGAATCCAAAACTAATTTCTGATCTTATTTTGAACATTATTGTGCACATCCTTTCAGATGTTTGTAACAAAATCTATTACTAAAATATCATAACTTGCTATGTGGCTCTAATAAATTTGATCCAAAAATGAAAATGTTATTATGTACTCACCTCAAGTCGTTCCAAACCTGTTTTTTTTGCTTTGCAGAACACAAAAAAAGTTATTTTGAAGAACCAACCATTGACCTCTATTTTATGGGAACAAACAAACAAACAGACAAACAAATAAATAAATCTGAGTGTAATTTCTTCGCCACAAACAAGACAGAATTGCAAACCAAAAAAAAAAAAAACATTATTGTGCACATTCTTCCAAATGTCTGCATCAAAATCTCTTACCAAAATGTAATAACTTGATCTGCCCCTCTAATAATTTCCACCAAAACAAGGAAAATTCTATAATTTACTCACCCTCATGTCATTCCAAACCTGCATGCACTTTTTGTGGAACACAAACAGAACCCAAAAGGAGATATTATGAAGAACAATGGGAGTCAACCAACACTGAATACCACTGACTTCTGTTGTATGAACAACAAAAGTCACAGCATAGAATTTAAAATAAAAAATGATAACAACTATTGCGCTCATTATTCCAAATACTGGTGTAAAAATCTATTACCAAAATGTAAACATTTATCAAAATATCTTCTTTTATTCACCACAGAAGAGTCATACATATTTGTAGTAACAGGAGGGAGAGTACATGATAACAGAATACCTTTCATTTCTGAATGACGTGATGAATCCCCCTTATTTCTCAACCCTCCCCGCCAACCACTACACTCCATTCTGCTAAGTATAGCCCACTCTTGACAATCCAATCCAATCAAATCCCTAATGGATAAAATCCATACTGTTAAATTTTCAGTAGCGACCTCTGTAACAATAATACCTCAATAATGCGTTATTATAATGTGCCATTTTTTTTTGGCTTTGTTACATTTAGTTTTTTTCTCCTTCAGCACAAACAATATGCATTTGTGGAGCAGTATTTTCTGGGTGCGTTTGCTCAGACACACACCTGTTAGTGTGAACGTGTGTGTGCGGCACAGTAATGATATCTGCTGTGCAGGACTAGATTGATGGCTCGGCTGGATGGGCTGCACACTCTAAAGTGCCCCTGGGGGAGCCAATAGATAAATCAGTTTAAGCCCTGGACCCCATTTAAAAAGGCTTTGGCAGGTTAATGTGATATCCACTCCAATACATTAGACCAGCCTCTCATTCAGGTAAATAGGCACTTACTCTGGCCTGACCCACACTCTCTGCTATCCAATTGTGTTTATTTCATTAGCTCATCTGTACAGAGTTTCCAATGACACAGGATTTCAATTGATCCTGGGCTGAAGATGATGGCTGGCATCAGGTGGCTGTGATGTGTTTAGGAAGTAGAAGGTGTCTGATGTGCTGTGACTTATGGGTGACGCTCAAGTGGCTCTGGATGGATTCGGATCGGGACGGTCTGTAGGTCTGGATTTATCAGGGCATTCCTGTGGGTGACTGCCAAGTGTTCAAAGACTGTTTACAACCTTAAATAATTGATAAAATGGCCTTTTGCATCTAGCTGCCTACCTAGACAACATCTTTAGGCATTATGGCCAGTATTGGGGGTAACATGTTACATGTAACACGAGTTATGTAATCAGATCACTTTTTTTTCAAGTAAAGTAATGCATTACTTTTTTAGTTACTTTTTCAAATAAGTATCGCAAGTCACTTTGTTTTCCCATTTATTAACTGACAGCTCTCTAATGAACATTCACCATTTGGGTAGGCTAAATGTATTAGGAACATTATCACAGCATAAGTCAAAGAGTGATAGTCTCATAAAAGTGACCATTATATTGATGAAAAAAAAAATCTAAAGAAAATATCTGTCATAACTCATTAATTTCCTTAACTCACCTAAGAGGAACATTTAGCATCAGAAATGATTTCCTCCAGAACTGCGTGTGGAAAAGTCCTCCCATGAAGTCACTAAAATGAAAATATGAGGAAGAAAATCACGATGTCTTGACATTTTTGTGACAGGTGCAGTTTCACTGAGAAAGGTGCTCATGTCATGTGATTCCACGAGTCACATAATAGCCTGCACTGTTTGTCACACCTGTGCAAGGGAAAACTGCTAAATAATTGCTCTGTCACAGTTGTGATGCAGCGGACTCATATTTGGCACAATTTTATACTTTCACAGCTTTCACAGTCTATGTTTTCCTGAGTTTGACACTGCTGTTTCTTTATTTTAGTTAATAAAAGGACAGTAAACAGAAATCTGAAATCACACAAATGAACACACACGTACAGTATCTGCACTTTGAACTCATACTGGGCTAAACACGGCCATGAAGTGTTTCTGTAGGGGGAGTCCAGCGCTCGCCCAAGCTCTGAATATATATTGAATATTTGAATATTGTAGGCACTCGTTTGCATCCAAATGAGTTCTGCTTGTCTGGGTGATGGACAATTTCAACTTGACCCCTGTCTCTTTGTATGCAACCTACAGTTTACTGTCAAAAGCATCTCATTTTCTTCAGCTCATTTGTGTGTTTACTTCTGGCAACCCTACATTTCTCAGTGTCTCGAAAGTATGGATTTTGTCTGTAAACATTGTATTTTATACC